CTGGGGCCTCCAGTCTTTGAGGGTTAGGTGCATCATCTCTGATTGAACACAGACCCAGCAGTCCTCTGCTGTATATGTGTTGGGGGTCTCATATCAGCTGGTGTATGCTGTTTTTTTGGTGGACCAGTGTTTGAGACATCTTGGGGTCCAGATTAATTGAGACTGCTGGTCCTCCTACAGGGTCGCCCTCCTCCTCAGCTTCTTTCAGCCTTTTTCTAATTCAATCACAGTGATTAGTAGCTTCTGTCCATTGCTTGGATGCAAAAATCTGTATCAGACTCTTTCAGCTGCTTGTTGGGTCTTCCGGAGGGCAGTCATGATAGGTCCCTTTTAGAGAGCACTCATAGTGGCCTTATTTGTGATAGGCAGAATCTGGAAACAACCCAGATGTCCCACGACAGAAAAATGGATACAGAAAATGTGGTTAATTTACACAATGGAATACTCCTCAGCAATTAGGAATAAAGACACCCTGAGTTTTGTGGGCAAATGGATGGAACTAGAAAATATTCTCAGTGAGGTAACTCAGACCCAAAAGGACATATATAGTATGTATTCACTAATAAGTGGATAATAGCAAAAATAAAATAAATAAAAAGTACAGATTACCCAAGATACAGTCCCTAGAACTCAAAAAGGTCAACAAACAGAAGGGCCCAAGTGAGGAAACCTCAGTCCCACTGTGGAGGGAGAAGAAAGCGATCACAAGTGTGGAGGGAAGGAGGGATCTGGGAGGGAAAGTGGACGGGGTGAGGGTGAGAGGGGAACCTGATCTGGTATTGGGTGAGGGAAAAGGACTGAAGCCCTGAGGGCCAGCAGAAAGAATGGAAACAGGCAACCTACATAGGAAGTTGGGGGAATTCTCCAGAATGCACCAGAGACCTAGGAGGTGAGAGACTCTCAGGACTCAAAGTAAAGGACCTTAGATGAAATACCTAACAGTAGGGAGAGGGAACTTATAGAGCCTACCTCCAGTAGCAAGACAGGGCATCAAATGAGGGAGGGAGTTGCCCTCCCACACTCAAAATTCCGACCCATAATTGTTCCTGTTTGAAAGAACTACAGGGGCAGCAATGGAGAGGAGCCTGAGGAAAAGAAGGTCCAGAGATAGGCCCAAAGTGGGATCCAGCTCAAGGGGTCGTCCCAAGGCCTGACACTGAGGCTATGGAGCCCTCTCAAAGTTTTTCATTTCTAAGTTGTTTTTGCTCAGGCATTGTATTACAGTTACAAAGTTGATTAACATATTCCCCTTATGAGAATGACCTGCTGCATACTATCAAAGGGGTTATTGGAGAATAAGGTCATAAGAACAAACAATTATCTAAGGACCTTCCCCAAGATGCCTAATTCTAAAAGGTTTCACCGACTCCCAAAAGTACTAAGCCAGTGACTGACTAATCTTTAAACCACAATGGACCTTTTGAGAATAAAATTTCCACTCAAGGTCACAGCTCTAAGTTATTCTTTTTCTTTTCTTAAGTAACAGATATGAACTAATTGACTCAGCATATTCTCCCTTAGCAGATTTGTTGGGAAAGTGTACATAAGATGAACTAGAGTTGAAGAAATCTCATTTCATAATGCTAAAGACAATGGCAGCTCTATCCAATGTGGGAGGATAGGGTCAAATCATCTTTGGAAGGTAGAGGCAGGAGGAGACTTTATAGGTCATTCAAGAGTACAAGATCATTTTTAATTTCCTAATCATTTATTATTTTCATGAATCTTAATAAAAGAATGCTTCTGACTCAGTTCACCCAAAAATAGAATCTAGAAATCTCCATGAAAAGTGCTTCATTGGTTTATCAAAAGAAGTGGAAGACACCTCGTTCTTTAGTTCTTAGATTGAATATAAGATTAAAAGCAGAAGGTCAGAGAATAGATTTAATTACAGATATAACAATTGGGAGCTGTGAGATACAAGCTTTTTCAAAACTCGAAATGGATAAAAGTCATCTCACCTCAGTCCTTTGGAGTAGTTCTCTATTCTCTATGAGACTAATCAGAGCTTTGAAAGAATTGGTCTTTACTTTGCTTAACTTATTTGAGACTTTAAAACTATGTTCTAGAGAGGTATGCTGATACACTCAGGTTGTTTAAAGAAATAACCTTAGAGGAAATATCATTCGAATAATACTAATACTCAAAGGATAGCACTAGCCCATGGACACATGCTATTACTACAAGTTTCCAGCCACCAGTGATCCTGCATTGGATGGGTCCAAGGAAACATATCTAGAGTTTTATGCTACTTTGGATGACATATACATTTGTGATTTGAATGCACATTAATAATTTCCACAATATGCTGAGAATTTCTTGGCTATGATGTTATTACCCATGCTTATTCAATAGTGGCTTGTGAGAGGGGTGTGAACATTTATAAACTTAGTGAATGACAATAGAAAACTTCAGATGGAAACAAGACAGTATCTAGGAGGAGTATGGAATGCACTGAGCTCAGCCATTCAAGAAGAGATTAGGAACCAACATAAAATTTTCCACACATATCAGAGAACTATCTCTTGCTTGACTTAGGAAGATGTGTCTCAATCACTGTAAATTGTTCAAAGATCATGTGAGAAGTGTTTCTGCCTCAGTTGTAACTTTTCTACTGAGATTGTAAAATTTGAAATTCATATTCATTTTGAGTTTGCTATGTTTATGAAATGAGATAGTGCATACAGAAGACAAATATATAAATCACACATATATTTTACTTTAAAAAGTTTGTAATTTTAAGAAAAATTCGTGTTCCTAATTTTACGTGAAATGCCAGGGCAACTGTGGCACAAATGTTATGGGAGCGGTGAAACACTTATTGAGTGGATCTCAGGTCTACTTCTATACCTGATATTGATGCTACAGTGGACAAGAACCTGAGACTAGACTAATTATGAATGTAGGGGAAAACCTAATACTATTATGCTGCCAAAGGAATATAGCAATAAAATGACTCCTAAGGATATGTTGTTAAACTTATGGTTTGTTCAATCCTCATCATAGAAGCTTCTTCCTGAAGGAATAAGAAATTAACATAGAGTCCTGCATCTGGAAAACGTGTAGATGATGAAAGTTGTTGACACACTCAGTTGTACATAGGATGTTTTCATCAAACCTTTCTGCTCAAGACTTAGTGATCTACATGGAAAAGGAAGCAGAAGGTTGTTTAGTGAAGTAAACGGCATGTTGAAGATATAGCAGTGGTGTTTTTCATATGAATTCTCTGAGACTATGGCAGCATTTGTAGGCATTGCACAGCTTTAAGCCAGATGAGGTCCCAATAATGAGAAAAGGACATAGACATGGAGTTCCACCCTTAACTAAGAAAATATGCACATATTTTACACATAATGTGTATATTGCTGTGCGTTGACTCCTTTCTGGAGGATGCCTGAGAAACACAGACACTCTTGTCTGTCCTTGGCGTCAGTGTTACAAATGACTCTACTCTGTAAACAAGATAGAACTTACTACTTTTTCTCAAGTGAGCTCATTTCTTCAGTACTTAAGACAATGAGGATTGGATCCATGACAACTCAGGCTAAATGTTGGCAATGTTTTCATATCAACTGTACAGCAAGATTTTACAGATTTTCTCATGTCCTTGATAATGCAGACATTTTAAAAAACAAACAAGGAGAAAACAAATACTGTGCACTATACTTTTTTTGGTCTGTTTTTTTGTTTTTTGTCTTTTTGTTTTGTTTTTTAACATAAAAGTCCTTAAAGAGAATTCCAGTTTGGCAAGACTAACACTCAAAGCATGTTTCTAGACTTTTTAATCTCACAAAGAGACATTATGGTAGTTTTATCGGTACTACTTTATTATAACATGATGCAAAAAGAGATGATTTTAACATATATCACAGTTACTGACTACGCCACAGTCAACAATTCTGTAGCTAAGTGAATGGGCCATAGAATTTTGGCTTACCTTAAAATAATCTACATTGTCGTTAGACAATATAATTTTGTCAAGTAGTATATTTCTAATTATGTGTTCATCGACAGAGAGCTAGGCTCACTAAAATCACTATAGTAGTTCATAAACCTACCAACATATGTCAATGGACTCAATTATGTAATGCTCATATGTATATGTATTTTAAGGTTTACAGAGGCACCTACAGGACTTCATGGTCCTGTAGGTGCCTCTGTAAACCTTAAAATCATCACCATTTAGGTTCATCCCTATCCAGTACCCTATTAGGTTACTATGACAAAAAAGCATAAGTCATATTTGAGGTCTTTCTTAAATCTCACTTTCTTTTTCTAACAGTGGAGCTACATACCATATCAATATACTAGCTGGTACTCATCCCTCTGGATCCCTGTTGTTGCTAATTTAGGGGTTTATATTTTGCTCCAGACCTAATGGACTTCGCCTTTCTTTTTCTGATTTTTCCAGAGGCCTCTTGAAAACTTAATTGAATATAAGGTCTTCTGAGTATGAATTGTATATTCTCTAATAACGTCAGTGAAAAAGTAATTGAGAATATTTTTGAAGTTTTTATATTCATCTTTTGTGCTTTTCAAATGACATTATGTAATTATCAATATATTTTATATTCAATATATATAAGTAGAATCTTTTAAGTAAGAGGATACATATATAAATCTTTATATATCAAAATATAAAGCATTCTCATAAATGGAGTTCTATAAATATTGACAAACCATAAAGCTGATAAATTTATTAACTCTAAGCTAACATATGCTCTGAGTATATTTTGTTTTATATAACACATCAGTAATTATATTTTACTGATAACATATTTTAAGAGCAAGTCAATAATACATTATTACAAGTATGCTATAAAATTTCTTTCATGCAAATAAAATATCATTAGGATTTAAGATCTTTAGATCCTAGTTATGACTAGATATTATCTGATTATTCTTAAACAATTTTCAATATTTGACATATAAGTCAATATTTGAGAAAATAATTTTAAATTAAATGTGACAGTACTTATTGTCTTTGCAGATGAACTCACCTCTCACAATGATGTTGGTGGACTTTTTTGCAGGGTTTCCCACATTATTATTGGCAATGCAGCTGTAAGTACCAGCATCATCAGAGGTGATGGCAGGTATGGTCAATGTCCCTCCATTCAAAACAATCTTTTCAGGCAGAGTCCCGAAGGACCTGACCCAGGTGAGAGAGGGCGTAGGCTCTCCTCCTGTTGTAACACACACTAGCGTAATGGCCTCTCCAGGATTTACAACTATAGGGTCATCCACCAAGAGTTTAATTGACGGAGATGCTAAAAGACACAAACAGATATGAGATATTGAGATATGTTGAACTGGGAATCAACAGCAAGTTTTATAATATTCATTCAAGCAGTTAAATGGAAATGCTCTTTTTCTCAAAATTAGAATGTCCTACTAAAATTTTAACCAGATGTAATACTTCTGTACTTCAATTAAACAGCATGAATTTATAGAACATTATTAAATCTTTTACACCAGATGTAATATTTTGAGGTTTTTTTTCAGAATCATTCCTATGGGTTAATGTCAGTGCTATTTCTTCATAGCACCCTAGGAAAAGTCACACAAGAGAATGAAAATATTCATTTCCGTGAATTTATTGTTCTTACGCAAGAATCACAAAATTGACTAACGTTGTCAGATACAGCATCCATTTCTTCTTAGAGGTATGCTACTTTTCTCTCATTCATAGTTGTTTAGTCCTTGTTCTAGAGTCAGGGATGAAGTGATTGATGCTTTCAACATGAATTTAGGCAAGTAAGAGAGAGCATGAATCACCAGAGTCTTACTACATAGCGTAACCTGACTGCTGTTCTTCAGTTGTAGAGTCACATTATGTGTTACCTCCTTAGTCAGGAAGGGTTAGGTTGTGAGTTCTCATAAATATAGCTTTAAAATTCAGAAAGAAACTATCACAAATGCCCCAGCAGAAATACTGAGCTTACCACTTCTTTCATGATTAATCATAAAATTCCCACAGTAAAAATTAAGTCTTTTCAAATCCTCAAATTAAAAAATAGAAATATAAACATTCACTCAATTAAAAACAATCACGTTTACAACAAATACTTAAAATTGAAGCTAGGTAGAGAATATAAAATATTACATTCATACAAGCACAACTTATAACACAGTGTAAACATATGCAACATTTTCATAAATAGAAGTAGTAGCATGTATTTTATTGATGTTAAAGTTAGTATGTTCAGGAATATTTAATGACAAAATGAAAGCAGTACTGTATATAACATATGTATATATACATATTACATATATATTCTCTCTCTGTATATATATATATATATTATATACATAGTAGGTATTTGATTTTAGTTTTTCATTTATCTTAAAAATCACATGTCAATATGTATGAATGTATGTATGTACATATGTATTTTGTATATATAGTATATAGCACATATATACAATTTGTATAATAATATAGTATATATAAATATATACACTATGTATAAATAGTGTACATATTAATATATGCAAATTCATGTAACTGCATTAATTTATAATTATTAAGCTCAGCTTTGAGCTACAACTTAGAATTCAAACCATTAAATTGTGTTTTAATAAAATCCATCTATTTATAAAGAAAGCAGGGGAAGATAGGGCTTTAGCTCTGTGATGAGGATTCATGAGACAGAGGGGGGTGGAGGAGGAGTCTCTTTGGCATTTTCAAACATCCTGTTGCTTGCTGGCTCTTATAACATCATTAAAATAGCATGGGAATTTTCAAAATGTCACAACATCAGCTTCTCTGATGTTCTGGCCTTAAACTATAAAGATTTATTATTAACAAGATGTTGAGAAATACACATAGTAAAGGTGGTATGTGAAAGTCACCACAGTTGGGGAGAAAAACAAAGTGCATCAAGGAATTATTAAATATTAAACTAGTGAACAGAAGATGTCACTAATTAAATCTTATAAAATATGCATTGAACTTACTTATTAATATATCACCATCAAGATGTAAATGAAATCCTAATATAAATAACATAAACCTAGAATTTTCTTGAACTAATATTTTAGAAATCCTAATGCCTATCAAACTGTGTTTAATGTGTTTTATACCACATTTAAATTATACTAAAAGAAACCAAGTCAAAGTTTAAGAATGTATATAAGGACTATAGAAACAGCAAATTGACATTAAATAGAAGAGTATTTGCTTATATAAAAGGCTTACTGGAGGAGGGGTAGTTTTCTGTAAGAAACTATGCAAAATGAAAAATAGAAGAGAATTTCAAAGTTTAAAAGTCATTTCATACATAGCAAAAAATTCATTGTTTTGACTCCTTTGCTACACAGAAGAACATTTACAATGTTATCAACTGATATTCTCCTTCATGAATCTGGGATGAAAGCAGTTCTGAGCATGTTATATTTATGAATGTTTCCTTTTATTTTCTCAGATTGTTCTTGAAATTGAAAAAAGTAGCTCGATCATACTTTTGATGAGATGACTAACAATTCTGCAGCCTTACTAATATTCAAATATATTTGCTATACTAAATTTTCTAACTTTAAAGCTTAAGAAACTTACAAGGTTAAACTTTTGACACGTGTGCATTTGCATGTAGCAATTAGGGAACTTTTTGTAACTATATGGCTTTGTTTAAGAATTAGAGAATGAATGGAATCATGACCAAGAGAGGAAAATTAAAGTGTACAAAAACAATTATCAGTATCATTTTAAACATACTTTCAGATGGGACGGCTCTTATGTTAATTTGGGGTTGCATACAAGCATTCTGAGTGAGGGTCTGCCTTTCTTATTTTGAGGATCTGACTAATCCAGAAATTTACTATCTCACTGTACAGACAACTGGACATTGAATTCATCATCTTCCTTTCTTACCCTCCAGAGGTCTGAGTTTACAGGCATATTACTATATTTGACTTCAGTTTTCCACTTCTTTTTAAAAGTCACATGTTAACAAGTACACCTGTATTTGTATGTATTTTGTATGTGCCACTGTATGTGTGCATGTGCAATGGCACCAATAAGAAGCCCAGAGGTGAACTTGAGGGAGCTTGTTCTCTCCTTTTACCATGTGGGTGTTGAGGCTTGAATTCAGGATGTCAGGATGGTGGCAAGTGCCTTTCCTTGCAGAACCATGCCTCTGGCCCTAGTTGCTCATTTCTTCATTTTTTTTTTTTGATGTCACTTTTGGGCTGTGGCCTGCAGAACTTTAAGGAATAATCCAAATGTGGCAACAGGGAATGAAGAGAAAAACAGACAAAGGTCCAGAAGATCTCAATTGGATGAGCTGTGTTCTGTAATGCAGACGCATCGATGGCGGCCCAGAATCTCAGTGTGTTTATTATATACAGAATGAAAGCAGAGAAGGCAAGGTAATCATCCAGTAGGGAAAAGGTATGATTGATAGTTTCTGCATACAATGGTTTTAGCTAAAGGTCAAAGTTCTTAATCAACACCCATACTTCGATCATTGGAAGGCTATGTGATTCTCATAGCTAGTCCTGGGGAAGAGTTTTCTATTCCAATGGGCCTGACAATGACGTAGTTGACATGGCTGTGTTCATCTCAACAACATACATTCACTCAAAACTTCATTAGCTCCCCACACATTGTATAATATTTCCCCAGTTACAAACGAAGTGCTTCAGTCATAATTTCATCATATAACAACTTGATTGTGAACCTATGCAAGTTCTTTCACCTCTTGGCACCTCTCATTGGCATTGTCAACACAGAGAACACAAGTATTTCTTGATGGATAATATAAATATAAAGCCATTATTTTAGAACTTGCTACAACAGATTCACTAAGTAATGTTTTAACTGTCATTCATTCTATTTCCTCCTTCATAGGCTTAATTGTAGCCTGACAAGGAGTGTGGATGCTACAAGACAAAAGGTCCATAAAATTTGATTTTTTTTATAACATGTGCCAGCATATTTTAAGATCATTTTGAATTTTTGAAGGTCCTGTACCTCATCATATTTGAAGTCATTCATTTTGAAGGAACAGGAACCTATATTAATCTCATTTTATAATACTGTTATTAGTAAGTTAAACTCACTGTATTTCAATACTCATTCTCTTAGGACTGGCATGTGCTATTCTTCAGCATTGTCCTGTAACTGTCCCAGTGTCTTGAGGTCACACACTATGAGGATCCTTTCTTGCTTAGTGAGTATCCAGGAAATGAAGACTGATAAAGCCCACTGTACTAAATTATAAATCTAGCTGATTATTAGGTGTGTGTTACCAAATATGTTGGCTGAGTCAACCACTAAAACACATCCATAGCTAGACATACATAGAGACAGAGGCTTTTAAATCAAGCAATTCAACTGTGAACGTAGGAGAACCAGGAACCCGAGGTCAATTTCAACTACACAGAGAGTTAGAGGCTAACTTTGGTTTTAAGAAATCTTATACTAAAAAAAAAAAAAAAAAACAAGACAAAGGAAAAAAAACCCGAAGAAGCAAAATAAAATACGCCCTCATTTGTAAATCAGAAAGCATATATTTGCATTTCTTTTCTTAATATGTGATAGAGATAACTTTGGCTCATTTTAAACCAGTGAACAAATACAAAGGATAAAACAGAACAAGAAAAATGCTGAACAGGACAACATGGAATTATTATTTGAAATGCTGATCAAAGTAGAAAGCTATGGTTACCGAATGTTATGAGGTTCATTCTTACTGTTGTGGAGGTCAAAAATTGACTTAATAGAACAAAAAGTCAACCAGTGATCACTAGAGACTAGAAAGAGAGAAGCAGATGGAAAAGGATGTTCTAAATGCTAGTATCCTGCAAGGCTTTGGGATGACAGTACCTCTAGCAAAGTCACAGGACTTTATTACACATTTTTAAACGACCGAGAGATAGGAACCCAAAGCTTCCCAGCATAAAAATATAATAATTGTTTAAGAAGAAGAAATGATAATTAATTATCATACATTATAAAATGTATGAAATTGAATCTACACCTAAAAACTACGTATTATTGTCATGTTTCAAATAAAAAGCATATGAACGTGAATCAGAAACAAATCTTTCAAATAAAGTTAAACATTTATATTTAAAAAGACTGCCAGTAGCCTTGTCTGTGAAAGGAAGGACTTCTGTTTCTAAGGTCACAAAGACCCTTGGCACACTAAAAACGGGGGGAAATGACCTGTACAACAGACTCTCCACCTTAAGGATCAGGGACATGATATTTCTTACATCGTAAAGGCTCATTTTGTTCCAAAACATTATTTATTTCCACATTTCC